GAAGTGGTTAAAGTGGTTCAAGAGAACCACTGCCAGAGCCTAACAACCAAGGGGCAAGAGATTGCTTCTCAAATCCAGATTCCCTCGCAAATCAAGCAGCCTATAGTGGCCCAGCTGAGGTCAGCACTGATAAGCCCAGCAATCATCATGATTTTCCTAAAAATGAAGGGTGAGTTGGCATGAACTAAAGCGAAACTGGAACAAGCCCAAAATGAAACTAGTGCTGAAAGTTTACATCTGATAAGGAAAGAGTTGTATGCCCAGTGCAGCCTTCCCTGAGGGCCCAAGAGTTGGAGAAAAGATAGTCAAGTTCTCATTTCTATACCAAATTCAGACTTCTAAAGGCCTCATTCTTACACTGCAAGCTTGCAGTGGTTAAAGTAAAACTTAGAGGAACTTGTGTTTCAGTTTTTTCCCCTCCCAGGTTAGCTAGCTTCAGAAGCTTGAGGGCATCCTTCTGTTCAAAGAAAGTGGTCATCTCTGAAAACCTCCTCTTCTGGAACACGTAGATACTTGAGGAATGTTTCTGCTGGGAGAAAATAGGGGAACAAATAGCAAGCCCAACTCTGTGGCACAGTGTGTCTTCAGTAGTTTGGAGGAATGAAGACCTAGAGATTTTTAAATAAATATGTAAAATTCCTGTACAATATAATAACGGACTATGCATTGCTCTTAACCTTGAGCATAGTGGCTTAGAGACACTATGTATGGGTTTTGCTGCTGAGACTATGAACTTCACCAATGTTCAACTTATGGATCAAAACTCAAATGAGACAAATTTTGCTAGATTTATTTGCTAAGCACCAACTTCTGCACTCAGGAGGCTCAGGCAGGAAGATTTCTAGTTTGAGGCCAATCTGGCAGCCAGAACCTTTTTCAAAAGACCAAAGCAAAACACAAACCAAAGCAAAAAGAACCTGTGAGGAGCCATTCTACATAATTTTTGGGAAAATTATTTCACAACTAAATTATAATTAGGCCTAGTCTTCTTGCCTTTGGGCCAGCTATGACATGCTGAAACAGAGCTCCATCTTTACCTTAGTGGTCCATGATCCTATGACACCCAAGGGCAAGATTACATCATTTGGGGCCAGAGATTTAGCTCAGCAGTTCGGTGGCCTGCCTCGCAAGCGCAAGGACCTGAGTTCAATCCCCAGTACCACCAAAAAAAAAAAAAAAAAATTACATCATTTGAAGATATCCTGATGCCTTGAGAACAAAGTAGTAAGAGAAAGGTTTCACTTGGGGAGGGACAAATTCCTTATCAGCTTAACTCATCCCACCTACTGTTGTAAGAATGTCTTTGCTCATTTTACCATCCTGGTCAACATAAGCTTCTCATTGATTTAAAGTCATCAGCACAGGATCCTCATGGTCCTAGAATTACTGCCACCCTCCAAGATATCCGATAATGTCCTCCAATAATAAGATTCTTGTCAATTTAGGATTATTGCCATCCCTGAGTCATCTATTACTCCCTATGAACCTAATAAATAGTGGCAAGCTCGGGGCGACTTCATCTTTACAAGTCCCCTTTCCTGTCTTTACTCTTTAATTTTCCTTGTGCTGGAATGGCTCAAAGGAGACCAAGACACATGCAGGGATTCTGGTAACATTCCCTTTCCCTGTTCCCTATAGAAACCAATAGTCTTGAGAGGACTGAGCAATAGATGTAAAAGCAAGGTACTGGCTCATATGTTTAATTATTTAGTTTGGAACTATTGTACTTGATTGACTAATATAGTTTTTTTCCCATTGAGTTTATTGGTACATCTTAGGTATACAGTGCAGTTACATTCATTATTGGGAACTTGTACCTTTACATGACAGGTCTTGGTTCTCATTTTTTCCCCTTATCCCCTCCCTTCACCCCCTTCTCCCTCCCCATTTATAAACACTTCATTTCCATTTTTTCATTTTCTCATATTTTTTTCTTTTCCCTTATTAGCTTTCCCCTACCCTTCCCACTTTCCCTACACCTTTAGCCCCTTTATTCCTATTTCACATTGTCAATTATATCATTAGGATCTTATGTACTATTTTAGTTTATTCACACCACACCAGAAACTATTCAGTATTTACACATGTGACTTATTTATTTCACTTAAGTATATCCTCCATATGTATCCATTTTCCTATCAGTGAATCTAATTTCTCATTCTTTATGGCTGAGTAATATTCCAATTTGTAGAAAAACCACATCTTCTTTATCCAGTTTCCAAATGATGAGCAAATGGGCTGTTTCCAAGTTTTAGCTATTACAAACTGTACCACTGTAAACATAGGGGCACATATATCTCTGTGATATGATTCTTTTAATTCTTTTGGAAAGATACCCAGCAGAGGGATGGCTGGGTCAAATGGAACCTCTAGTCCCAGCTCTTTGAGGTATCTTCCAATATTGATTTCCATAGTGGTTACACCAGTCTGTATTCCCACCAACAGTGGAGAAGGGTTCCTTTCTCCCCACATGACCAATATAGTTTTAATGAATGGTTGTAATTATGGTAGGTGAATATATTGAGGACTATACAAACATAAAGATGTGTCAAACTTCAGGTATAAATTGAATAATTATATACATTGATTTCACAACTAGACTATAGAAAGATGTTGGCTGTGATGGAGACTGGCTACACTATTTTTTCAATAGTGAACTTGTAGATAATTCTTCTGCCTCAGCCTCCCTAGTGCTAGATTACAGGTATGCATGATAAGGTCCCACATCAGCCTTTTGATATTAAATTGAAATGTACCTAATGTAAAAAGAACAAACAAGGAATTCTACATGTACTCTATATGGAGTGGTTGCCAATATATATTGAGTGAAAAATCTAAAAAACAGGATAGTATGAGTTTTTCATGCTATCACTTTTATTTTTAAAATGATCTTCATGCTTGATAAGCATAAACTATTTCTGCAAAAATTCATAAAAATCTACTTGGTTGCCTCTGAGAAAAAGAACTAGCTTTGGGTACAGAGATGGGAATAATATGACTTTTCACTGTATAATATTTTTTACCTTTTGAATTTTGTGTTGTAGCTATGATGTGTGATTGAAAAACACGGTGTTTAAATAAAAAAAATCACAGTAAAAGATATGCCATGAATCCTTCTCAAAATACTCCTCCTGGTTTAAACACATTCATCCCATAAATCTTTCCTCTTTCTGCAGCAGTTCTGCAATTCCTCTTTTGTGAGTCTCTCTAGTTGTATTCTGCTTCTATGTCCTGAATTGCTTCAAAACATTGTCACAGCCATTTTTATTTCGGGGAAAAGACAAAAGTTGCATGATACCAGATCCAGTGAATAGGGTGGATGAGGTCCCACCTAATTCATAATGTTTTTATAGGTCTGATTTGCTGTTAGATGGCCTTTGGCAGAAGCATTCAGAGTATTTTGTTGTTGTTGTTGTATCTTAAAAAGGCACTCACAAGAGACTTCCAGAACTGCCTCAAAAAGTGCCAAGAATGATTGAATAAATGCATTCAAAATGAGGGGGAATATTTTGAGGAAGACTAGTGACAATGTATCTTTTACTGTAATAAATTTTTGAATGTAAACATTCACCATATTTTTGATCACATCTTGCAAAAATAAACTAAACAAATTTAGGTCATTTAAAAAAGAAAGAAATATTATATTCCTTGGCAGAATATTAACTATTTCTTAGAATTTTGTCATAGAGTCTCCCTATATGGTCTCTCCATAGGGTGGCTTCGAGAATAACTTTAAAGATGAAACCTAAACCAGGTATGTAGCTATAGTCCCAGACACTTGAGATCTTCAAATAAATGGATAAGTTAACAGCCAAGTGAGCTCTTACCAACTAGGCATTATGCAGGAGCATTACTTAAGGATAAGAAACCTGCTTTAAAACTGTCATTTGCTAGTAAGACATGGTGGTGCATGACTATAATCCTAGCACTCTAGAGACCGAGGCAGAAATGTCATGAGTTTGAGCCCAGTTTGAGCCACAAAAAGTACTGGGCCAGCCAGCACTACAGATCAAGATACTTTCTCAAAAACAAAAAAAACAAACAAAAGCATTGTTATTTACCTCCTGGAACAGAAAGATATAAAATGTGTATAATAGGACATTTTCATGTGTGACTAGAGGAACTTTGTTTGCTAGGGTGAAAGAGGGTGAGGGACTATACAAGAAAAGGGAATGTCAAAGAACAAATGTGATTTTCTCACCAGCAAAATCAAAAGTGTGAAGTAGGTGATTTACTATGCTTACAGGGTTCACTTCAGAATTATTCCTGAAGTCTGACCTACAGGAGGCAATCCCCTGTACAGGCGTCGCCAGCTTGGGCCTGAGGTCTGTGTCCTGTTAGGAATCAGGCCACACAACAGGAGAGGAGCTGTGGGTGAAGGAGGGAAGCTCCATCTGCATTTACAGCCACTCCTCAGAGCTGGTATTGCTACCCAAGTTCGGCCTCCTATCAGATCAACTCAGTCTTAGGTCCTCATAGGAGAACCCTTCTGTGAACTACACATACCAGGAATCTAGGTTGCTCCCACTCTCCTTTGAAATATCGTGTTCTATGAAACCAGTCCATGGTTCCAAAAAGGTTGCAGATCTGGGCCTAGGTCCTCCTTCGATATAGCAGAACACATATGATGCCTGGATGTTGAAGCCAAGCATGTTCTCAGGGTACAAGTGGAGGGTGAATGGTACATTGTTCTCAGTTCTGGACAAGCCATCATGAGACCCCAGCCTTTGAGGCACTAACCCTGCCCACCTCCACTGACCAAGTATCTGCAGCTATCTACTGCTGAATTCATAATGTGCCCATGACTGTGAGAATGACTTATTCTTGAATCAAACAAAATACTATAATTAAATAATCAATAAACCATCTTTATTAAATAACAAGCAAGTAGTCTACATAAATACAGTCACTGGTCTATTTCCATGAGCCTTTCTCTTCTCATATAGAAGATGACTCATGTGATGAAATGCAACTGGACCAGCACCCTTTAGAATGCCCTGTAATAATGGGAAGGTGACCAGCAAGATACAAAGCTCAACTGGAGTTCTGACACTGCACACACAGGAGAAAATCAACAGCTTCAATTCACAATGACTTAGGTAAAAAGTTCATAGCTTCATTTTAAATGCCCATATTGTGCCTTCCATACATCTTTCTTAACAATTAAACCAGTTGTTGCTCTTCAATGTATGGGTCACTTTCTTTGCATTTGGGTCAAATTCCAACTGTGAAGACTCATTGAAGAAATAGAAAAACCCTGCAAATACAGGCAAGAGAAAAAGTGAGATATATTTTCAAAAGAAGAAATGTGGCAGCCTACAAAACTCAGAATGATAGATAACTGAAAACACAAAGTCTTTGTAGAGATTTACTTTGTGCCAGGAACAATGTGAAGCATTTCATTAGATTTTGTTTTGCTTTTTTACTTATTTACATAAGTCTAACTCCATTTTACAGATGAGGAAGCTGAGGTTTAGACAGATTCAGATGCTCACCTAAGGTTATGTAACAAGGACAGAGGAAGAGAGTGCTCCACACTGGATCTGTCTGATAGCAAAGCCAGTTCTGGGGTTTTGGTTCAAATCAGAAAAAAAAAAAATCTTTGCTTGTTTAAAAACTAGGATCTCTTATTTTCTTTATTTCTTACACTTCTCTCTTTTTGCCACATTGCAGGCTAGGGAGCATGTCTGGCCCCAAAGAAGCACAGAAACTCTTTCGAAACACCAGAGGACCCTTTACTGTTATGCAAAAGTGATGCCCAGGTTACCTTTCCATAAAGATAACATCTACTCATTTATCCATGACTAGGAAAACAACTTAAAAAAAAAACACTTTGGGTGCATGGGAAGACAAGAATTTGCAATGAACAAGTGTGGTCAATCACTGACTAACTCAGGAAAGACAGACAATTTCCTAGAGAATTAATAGTAGAAACAGGATTGGATGCAAAAGAAAGGCATCTGGCCAGTATTAAACCTGACCACATCACCTTGTGGGAATTTTGCACTAACATACAGCTCAAGAAAGGTAATGGCACATGTAAGCAAGTAGCACCTGAGTACTTGGGTTCTATATGCAGGTATAAAATGGGGGGGTTGTGTTTATTATTATGATGATTAAAAAGAATTCATGTGAAATAGTAATAATTGGCACAAAAAGTAGGTGAATATAAATTTTGGAAGGGGGAAAAGGAACTGAGTTTTTAAAACCCCATTACTAAAAATTGTTCTCTTTCTTTTCATACCATAAAATATTTCAAGTGTCCCACTGTCAACAGATTAAGCATCCTCTTACCAAATGCTTCAAAGGCAGCATCAACCTTTTCTACCCCTGGAAAGTCTTCATTTATCTTTCTGGGAAAGCCTGGCTCCATGCCCTGTTTCTTCTCATCAAATCTGTATCACGTTAAACAAGCACAGCTCAGGATTACATAGAGGCCATTTTACCAAAATTCATAAACCACACAGAATTCTAGTAAATTTTTCATGTACTACAAATAAATACCAATCACATTTGCATTATAAAAATATGTTATTTTAATAGTACTACTAACTTAGCTCTTAAAACCAGAGACCCATCAGAGAGAGGGGCAATATCCCACTATAGAAGATGCTACTTTTTATTGCATTTAAAGCTGGATAGAAAGAATCTTAACTCTCTATAACAAAGGTATGAAATGTGAACAGATGTGTATATGCATGTGTACATTTGTGTGCATGCACAGAGTGAATAGAATACTTTATCTGAAATATAATTTCTAGCTCTCTACCATAACTGGTTTATATATACTAGCCATCCCACTATATACATTGAAATTATCTATGGTAGCCTCCTAGGAAAAGGGGTTGGAATGAGAAGAAAAGCACAGTAAGTGAGTTTGTGGCCCATTTAGATGGACATTGGATGACCTGCTCTGAAATCTAAAAGTCTCAAGCAATGGCCTGGGACCAACCTGTTAGTCCTGAATAATATCCATAAAAGAGGAATGTCTGCTAGTCTTTAGTTTTTTTGTTTGTTTGTTTGTTTTGTTTTGTTTTGTTTTTTACTGGAGATCAAACTCAGGACCTTATGCTTTTGAGGCAGGTGGCTGCACCACTGAGCTAAATCCATGGCCCAATGTCTGCTATTGTTTGTCATCTCTTAAAAAGGCAAAGGAAATCTTCGAAAAACATATAGTAATGTTAGAAGACAAGACAAACACACCATGAGATAACGAGTGGAACTCTAGGGTACAGGGAAAGGAATGCTAGATTGTGGTCTAGAGTCTCAGGAAATCTTCTTTCAAAGGAAGAAAAGATATATGGGCTGGAAGTTCATGGGAAGGCTTCCTGGAGACGGTGGGCTTGAGTCAAGACTTGAAGAATAGGTAGGATTTGAGTAGATGAAAGAAAAAAGAAAAGGTCCTGGGCAGGTGGGGAATGGCACAGAAGGAACAGACATACCAGTCTGTTTCACATGGGATTTAACACAAGAGTACTTAAGAAACGCCCGTTATAAGGCGCTTCTGTGCGTTGATTGAAGAATGCAATTCCCCACAGTGCCTAAAGCCCCACTCTCTTACTAAGATGGAAGTGGGGTAGGGTGGGGTGGATTTTTTAAGGGAAGAAAAGTATTTCTTTAATTAGGCTCCAAACAAAGTCATTCTTATTTCATCATACCTCCAGTACTGGTCCTTCACGAAGAAGTATGTCTTCTTCTTTTCCTTAACAGAAATGGCCGCATCGATTTTCTTCACTGTTGCTGGGAAGCCCAGTGTATAGATGCTTCTTGGAGAACCTGCTTGCACCTCAGATCCTCTGATGGCCCAGAACTGATTTCCTATTTTTAAAAAAATATTCAGAGTTATATTAAAATTATAATAGTTAAATCTGCTAGTTTTAGAAATACATTTCTGCACCTTTGATTTTCATAGTAAAGAGGAGGGCAGAGTTTTACACTTACCAGCTCCATTATTAAGCCTTTAACAAAAATTTGCATATACAAAGAATGAACAAAGATCAAGTGAGGGAATTCACAACACTGATTAATTTATCACCCTGTTTAGTTTTTAATCTGTAAAATATAAATAAAATAATTCCCACCCTAGTCATTTCCTCATCTCCTTTGGCTGCCGTAGTAGACAAAATTTGACATAGTAGAAAAAATTTAAATCCTCTTCAAGTTTTTGTTTTGTTTATGTTTAAGCAAGTTAAAGAAATGTTTAGGGCTGGGGGTGTAGCCTAGTGGTGCAGCATTTTTCTGGTACTCATGGGACTCTGGGTTTGAGCCTCAGCATAGAAAATAAACAAATAAACACACACACAAGTAAACCCTCCCTCCAAAAAACCCCTTAGTCTTTACCTGAAATAGTCTGAATATAAAATAAAATTGTAAAAAGAATAATAATTACCTTTAAAAACAAAAACAGTGTCCTTGCTAGTCACTTCATAAGCTGCATCCACTCCTGAAGGAAGGGAGGGCCAAAATGAAGAGATCAAATAAAACTCAGGTTCAGGGGTCCTGAGGGATTTGCGCCAAAAATACCTGGAAGATATGTTAAAAGCAATATAAATTGAAAACAACCTTTCATCTTTATATTCCTCAGTTTCCAGTGTCACCTGTCTTTCCCCAATCTCTTATCTTCTAGGTTGGATGACAGATAGACATCAGATATATGTATATATCTTTCCTTTTTCTTCAGAAGGCTGTAGTGGACCTCCTGTTACAGGTTTCCACAAAGCAGTGTCTTCTTTTGAAAGGAAAGTTACTTTACCATTCAAATTAATTACCCCATTGTATGCTTACAAAACAATGTATGATCTAGACTATTACTCACACTTTTGAAAAAGATACTGTATATATATATATATATATATATATATGAATATATAGAGAAAATATATGAACATATATATATATATTCTATTCTTCTATACATGTAAATCAATAATGGAGAAATACACAAGAGATCTTGATCATGTACATATTTATCCACTAGTAAGTAAATTAATTGATTAAATGTAATGCTTATCCAGGGGTCTCTTTGAAAAGTAAAAAACAAAAATTTGATTGTAAAGATCTACTTGTACTTTTTGAAAATGTACTTAGGACATTTGGGAATAACAGTTTGAGGACAGGAATCAAATCATTCTGAGTCTACAAAAATGAACTTGACAATTTTAGAAAAATGTAGAAAAGGTACCATTTTTGTCCTAAATGTTTAAAGATCTCTGCCAAGTTTCTCTTTGTTTTCCTTTTTAAGCACTGTACATCATGAGAATAGATAGGAAAATATAATTCCCAGTCTGACCTGTCTTTAAAGAACAGGATTTCTCCCCTCAGGGTGCTGACTGCATCAAAGGACAAAGCAGGATCACATGTGTCTGGTGTCTGAGACTCTGATTGACTAGATTCAGTGGGCACTTCTGGTTCAGCAGGAGAGGGAGGAGGAGGTCCTAAAGAAAACAGATTAGGGAGGAAGCAGCATCAGGAAAAATGTGATGCATATGTCAATTTATATGCTTTCCAGACCTTCTCAAAGTGCTTTCAGTTGCATCACAAATATTTTATGTACCATCTCTGCAAAGCTATAATGTCTAATTTTTCCAACATCACTCACCATAGAGGGACTGAATGCCATCCACATCATCTTGAGAAAGGCGGAATCGAGTCAGGTCTGTGAAGGAGTTGTAGAGTGGATACATCAAAGCCTTAGTGTCGGTGGAATGGAAGAGACCCAAGGAGTGGCCAAGTTCATGAGCAGCAACCAGGAATAAATTCGTCCCTATTTAAGAAATCATAAATAACAGTGACTTATTCCTTAATGATCACATATATTACATAGGCCAGTTGTCCATTGTATATATTTACATTTTTTGACCCACACAGGTTTTTATTCCCCTTATTGATTAATAGAGCAGTTGAAGGAATATGCACTTAAAGGAAAGCCAAGCATATCTCAAGACTAATACTTGAAGTTAGTATCTGAAAGAATTTAATCACATCCAACTGTCCCTCCTCTAGCCTCAGACCTCTTAAAGTCAGGAGAACCAAGCCCTTTTCTTTGTGCTTAGAAGTGGAATTAACCCTCTTGTCTAGAATATAAACAATTTATCTCTTCTTTTATTAATGAAAAGCTAAATAGTGTTTCAGTGTATTGATTGGTATTTGCCAGTTTCCTCTTGATTAAACAAATCAGTGTATTCATTTCAGTTCTGAAACCCTTGAACAACCATACCTCTTTTATTTTATTGGAATATTGCCTGCATAACTTTCAGCCTCATGATTACTATTGCATACATTCTTAGTCCAAAAAAGGTGAATAATGATGTATGTCATAGGATTTTTAAAAACTGGTTTAAAATGTAACATGCCTAAGCATGTCCAACATCTGTGACAAAATAGATTTTGAACACACAAACACTGGCTGTATTCAGATATTTTTCTTCATATTATATATTTGTTAAACTCCATAATGCTGAAATGTGAAGGCTTTGTTTGGGTAATTATGGTTGACATAACAAGTAATCCACTTATTTTTGTAAATATTACTTATGTAAATTGTGACCCAAAGAATGCTATTATTTGTGACTTTGTAGGAAGTTTCCTTTACAAGAAGATGTTACCTAGTATGAAATTCATATTTTATCTGTTTACGTTATTATCATAAATACTAATAGTTATTTGAAATAGTTGTTTTAGCCAATTTTTCAGGAAACTTTGGAAGTCATTTCTCAAGGTTATAGACTGAGAAACATTCTTCTATCTAAACAGTGTGGACATTGTATTTGGGGACTAGTTCCTTCTTTTATAAGTTTCTAAAAATTCTTTTTAACTTAGAAGTAGTAAAAATGTTGACTTAGCCAGGAAGGGGGTGGGGAGGGAGAGAGCTTCTCAGTCTCCAGAATTTAAATCTCATTTCTTTTTTGAAAAAATAACATAAATGGGGGGAATTACATAAGCAGGGTCCAGGGCGCATATTCCTTCAGGTGAGTACACTCTCCACACTATCTCATAGATATCTCCTATTTGATATAACAAAAAATGTTTTTAATAATTGTGGCCCTTAGATAACACAAGATACATGATCATTAAGTAAATTATGTATATTCCCTGTATTTTGCTTATCAAGATAAGAAATAAGCTTTTTAAGCATCTGAAAATGTATGTAGAAATTACTAAAACAAAAATATATTCTGCTTATCCCTGATCCACTGAAAAATCTAGAACACATCATTTCTTAATTATTCATGGTTATTAAGAGTTTTCTAAATATAAAAAGAAATTAGCATTAATTTATTCTGAGAAATGCATCATCACTAACCTGTTGTATCCTTTGTCCATAGCTCATCATCATCAAAGTGAGCATCTCCATTAATCCCGGGCCCAGGTGCATAGGCATGAGCCAAAACATTTCCAGGTCCATCGAAGGGGGCAAAGTCTCCATGTCCTAAGGGGAAAAAATTAAATTGGACTCATAAGGTTATTAGGATCTCTTGCCTTTTCTAGCAAAACAACACCAGACAAATGGAGGCACTTCAGGTGTTTGTGGTTTTTCTCTGATACAAATTTTACCTCTAACTGCAAAAGATATCATTATGTCAGCCTCTCCTTCATGTATCCTGGAGAATGTGAGTGGGGTCACCTCCTCCCAGAGTCTCAGAGCTTTCTCAATGGCAAAATTAACTTCATCTCTTGGTAAATCCTGTGTGTAACTCACAATCCTTTATAGGAAAAATGAAGAAGGCAATATTTTCACCTGTGATAACAGCTTATAAAATTTCAAATTTGTGTGAAAACCTTTTTGAAGCCATTACCTGTAAGTAAGGTGGTTCTTCCTCCACTTTGGTATGCCAGGAAATGTGCTGAAATGACCAACATCTGGAACGCCACACCTGGGCTTGCGAATCATCTCCAAAGTATCAGAATTCAGCTGCCCTGTCACCTCCAACCCAAGGAACTTCTGCATTTCTTGGATTTTTTTAACAATAGGACTACTGTCCTTTCTTTTAAAAAATTGTTTCATGTCTTTTGAGAGGTTGTAGTAGTTTTCCAGATATTGCTAAAGGAATAGCAAGAATAATTTTTAATTACTTCTTATAAATTTTAGCCTTTTACTCAAATTTCAAGATCTATTTAATTACTGAGTATCTATTTAATTTATTGAAACTAATGGAATAAGTATAGTTTTTAGGTTATTCTTATGATTTTTTAGTTATATCTATTTACAGTAAATCTTTGCAGTAGCTCACTTTTCTTAATCTATTTGAATTAGTTGGATAGCTTGCTGTACTAATAAATGTCATATTTCATTGAGTTGTTCAATGGCAAACTCTTCCTCACCTTTGTTTTTTCTCTGTAGCTAAATATTTCTGTTGCTTAGTTTGCCACCAAAGCAATGAAGTGAAATGGACAGTTCAAATAAATATCCAGCATCCTTAAAGGACAAAACCAAAGTACACAGATAAATCTCTTTGAATGTATTTGTACATTTCAGGTGAATTTACTGTATACCTAAAATGTGCCGATAACTCAATGAGAAAAAAAAGATTTGTATAAATTCCTCAGTGTAAGCATGACTTTAGTAATATGACTATTTAGCTAAAGTTACATTGGATTAAAATACCCAAAAATGTTCCAAGGCAAGATAGAGTTGATACACTCTTCACTCATTCATGTGCTGCTATGCTGTGTGACCTTAAAAAGATACCTAATATTTCACACCTTTGTTTCTTCCTAAACATAAAAGGAGAAGCCTGAATGGTGTGATTCTGAGGCCCTTTCTACATCCAAAAGTTTATAACTCTCCGTCCCTGAACTATTTCTGCTCAGTAGCTAAGCGGTTCCATGGATGGCAGAGCTTGTTTCCTCACGTGGCCCTGTCAATGAGAGTGATGGCTGCTTCCGTTAATTACCTGAAGAAGCTCCATGCTGCTGTGCTCTCTCCTCGCAGCGCCATTCACTGGGTAGGCTGAGCAAACTGCCACACACAGCCACAGTGTGATCAGAAGATGCTTCATTCCAGCGGCTGTAGCAGCTCTGCACTGCCTTAATGCCTTGCTCTCTGCCTACCTCTTTCTAGGTCCACCCTCTGAAGCCCAACTTTTATAGAGTGATGTTTATTTAGATCACAAGAAGATTGACTCATCATTGCTTTCATCCAAATAGCAGCGGGATCATTTCCAAAAACTCCAGCTTCACATGATACAACCTACTTTATTAACTTCTTTCAACGTTTCCAATTTTGCAAGGCGAAATGGTGACTAATCTCCAGGAAATGCTTCCTGGAGCAAAAGAGAAAACTGGGGCATTTTTTTTTAATGTTAGAAAAATTGGCTATAATTCTCTAGACAATTAACGTTTGTGTGTTTGAGAAGAAAAGTAAATTGACCTGGTAAAAAGTCAAAATTGTACGGAACTTTAAAAAAGTTTTATATTAAGAACAGATGCTAAATTTTATATATATATATAATGCAAGCAAATGAAAAGTTGTATATATATATATATATATATATGTGTGTGTGTGTGAGTGTGTATCTATACATTATATAGTCTTATATCTTAAAATATAATGCATAGTATCTGGAAGAAATTTACTCATTTTTGAGCCCTTAATTTGAAGTACCTGCGATTCATTCCTATTTATATTTGCTAATCCTCAGGAGAAGAGAAGAACAAAGAGGATCTGAGAAAAAGAAGGTTTGGAATTGGTTTTGCTTTTGTACCCAATTTATTAATGAATGATGGTCCCATAATAGCTATTCCATAAATATTTGTAGAATTAAAGTGAATGATATTGTTCACTGGACTGCCAGCCTCCTGTCTTTATCTTTTAGAATTCTTTATTTTCCTTTTCTTTTTGGGGTGGGTACTGGGACTCAAACTCAGGTCCTTGAGCTTGCGAGGCAGGCACTGGAACCACTGAGCTAAATCCCAGGCTATTTTCCTTTGCAATGTCCTTATCATTTCTAAATTCAGGCTGGATTATTGAAACTTGGGATGGGGGAAGCATCCTAAATTCTCTCCTGATGCCCTTTTTCCTCTTTCCTTTCCCTCTCTTTTCCTTCCCCTTCCTTCCTTCCCTTCCCCCTTAACTTCCTTTCCCACTTCCTTCCTGCTTTCCTCCCCTTCCTCCTTTCCTCTCCTTTCTTCGTGCAGTATTGCTCATATCATTGGTGTATAATAAATGTTAATAGAGAAGGTTTTAAATATTTTTAGAGGAAAATATTTCACTAAACTTCTTACAGCCCTCATCACCTGCTCTCACCTACAACCCCTGCTGCTGGTTTTCTCTTTGGTGGTTTATGTGTTTGCTAAAGGGAGAAATATGAAAATGAGATCTTGGTAAAAATGATAAAATCATTGTATTGTGCATCTAATAAGTATTTAGTAAGTGTAAGATTTTTTCTCTACCATTTACATTTCTTTTGCTTTTTTGTTTTAATTTTGAGTATTCATAAATAAACATTTGGAAGAATTTCACCCAACATGTATAATATGTACAATAGAATGTCTCATTGGTATTAAGATTTCTAGAACTGGAGGTGCCCAAGAAGTTCTTATGATCACATCACAGGAGGTCGTACATCCAATTCAAGCATCCAGTTTTGGACTCATTCTGCCCAAAGGCAGTTTAAAACTAGTGTTCTTTGATCTTCTGTTCCTCTGAGGAAAAAAATCTGTATCTTGTCTTGATTAAGGGAAAGATACCCGTCCATGCTGATGCAAGGACAGCCTGCAGGGTGATTGTAGAGACTAGGCCAAACAAGAATGTCAAGAAGGACAATGGAACCAAGCAGAAAAAGTAGTAAGAAATTAAAACGGAAGGGCCATGGCAGCCATGATGGTTACTTCCTTCCAGATTAAGGATTTTCATTTATCATTTTTTCTAGCATTGTAAATGTATTTAAAGTTTAGAAGGAAGCCTGCAGGATATCATTATTTTCCTAACCGTTCAGATGTGATCAGCAAAATGGAAAGTATTGTGCTTAAACTAAACACAAAGTGTTGCTGATGTAGAATGTGATATTTTTAAAGCATTCTGGAGAGTTCCCCAAGAGACCTTTCCCAAGTCCCAGGGAGCGTCAGTACTTACTCCTCAGCCATCTCTCGTGCCTGCCTCCTTTCTACATTTCTCACACTGAGCTGTATTGTATCGGTTCATTGTTCAGTCCCCTCACCTTATTGTAAGTTTCCTGAGGGTATAATCCATGTCTAGTTTGATTTTGTATTACTAGTATTTAACATGGCACCTAGAATATAGGTACTCAAAAGTTGCTTAGAGAATTAACTAACATTAACTATGAATGAAACACTCAAATTAAAATTGTAGAATGAAAGAGATTTTAATAATGAAAGCGATTGTTAAATTTACATTTCTTTGATTACATTTAATACATCAATTCATTAATAAAAATGGTTAGGTAAACTAAAGAACAATTGAGTAGAAAAACAAAGTATGGAGGGAAGATGGAAAGCAAGGATGAGTTGGTTAATATACCAAATACAGGGGGAAAATGTGAACACCAGGGAAATGTGGACATGCTCAACACAGAAATGAACAATCATTAATTTCATGACTAAACATATATAATGGTCAGATAATGTCTGATTTTTACAAATCTGACCTCCTAGTGATCAGAAGTCTGTAATTACATTCAAATTGATTGAACTTTGTGTTTAAAAACTGTAGTTACAAGTAACATTCTATGTACTACATCTTCACTCTCCCTCTTTATCATGCTTTTCTGTGACTAATCAGACATACTGATTTATGACTCTTGCAAAAGCTTTCTAATACAATAATTCAGCTGTACATTAATTTACCAAGCATCAAAGTCCTAAAATCTTCGGAATATCCAGATTAACAGTTAAGATTTGGAGGTAAAATTTAAAAGAGAAATTTATTAAAAAGTGACAAAATTAGCTAAAACTAATTTAAAATTAGCTTTTTCCAAAAATAAGAAAAGAAGAAATGATGGCAAAAAGGTTTTAATTTAGAAGAGGAGATAACTCTGGTATTATTACTTCTATAAAAAAAGGTGTTAAGCAGAAAGTATTTCTTAATTTTTATTTTTATTAGTACATGTTTAAAGTACATAATTACATTATCATGGGGAGTGGGTGTATGTACATAACACATCTTAATTCTTATAACATTCTCTTCTCTTCCCCTTCCTTTTCCCTCCCTTTATCTCTGTGTTTACTTTAGAAAAAAACATAGATAAAGCAGCATTTAAGGTGGTTTGGACATGGAAGAAACGTAACAATAGAATATACAATTATGCAGGGTAAGAAAGTCAGAGTCCAGTGTTTGGGATGTAGTGCAGTGGTAGAGTATTTGCCTAGCAGGTGAAAAGTCCTGGGCTTGAGTCCTACCACTGGGGGAAAAAGAGTCTGAGCAGAAAATGACAGTTTCTTTTACTGAAATGCAAAGTAATAATAAAATGTGAAAAGTAAAGTGAGAAGATAAGTTGGAGCCCAGCTGTGGAAGATCGTCAACTTGCAACTGAGGTGTTCAGAGTTTATTCTGTTGGGGATGTAAAATCATGTTTCTACAAAATATAAAAAGTTTAATATATTACTATGGAATTTTAGAGTATATTTAAAAGAAATAAGAAGAAGAAAATTAATCATCTATAGTCATGTCAAAAGGAGAAAAACTTAATACTATTAACTGTGCATTTTCTGTGTGTGTGTGTGTGTGTGTGTGTGTGTGTGTGTGAATAGGGAGTGGGCCCAGGTCCTTGAGCATGCTAGTGCTCTACCACTGAGCTACATTCCTAAGCCTACTTTCTTCTAATTTTTACACCTATATATTATTTTTTACATCAGGCTGATCATAGGAATTTATAATGTAATCTTTTTTCCAAAGTTTAAATTTCATCATCCAGAAAGAAGTCTTAATAAAAATATGTTCCATCCAATTATAGGATAAAATAAAACACAGGTTTTTTTTCACATGTACTTTTCATAGTCACAATCAGGCCATATATACTAACTTTTATGTCTATTTGTCAACAGAAACTTGAAACTTTCAAATATTGTATGTGGCTGGTGAAGTAGATAAGGGAATTAAGAACTGAGGATCTTACATGTACCTGGATGGCTTAGTCTTTTTTTTGTTTTGTTTTTAATCTGTGAAGCATAATGACTCAGGCTCTCGGGTTTCCTGCGTTGCCATATGATCTCTCCCTCTTGAACATAATCCCACCACCGTGCCATCTGCCATGTGACACAGCCCCAGGAGCCCCTCTTCAGAACTGAATAGATGCCAGCACAATGCCCTTGAGTTTCCAGAACTAATCCTTGAAAAAACAGCTCTGTTCCAGATGGCGGAAATAAAGCTAATTCTTTGCAGATAGAAAACACTCTATGATTGCTAAATTAGTTTCAGAACTAGCAAAAGCCCTGACAAAAACAATGACAAAAGTGCACTTCTGTAAGGTCACCCACTACAGAGTGTAAGAACAAGATGAGTCATTCCACCGTCTCCAGGTTGGCCTTGAACTGGCTGTCCTCTTGCCTCAGCCTCCCAAATGCTGAAATTACAAGACCTGTGCCACCATGTCTGGCTTAATGATAGATTGGAAAAGAAAGAAGAGAAAGAAGGCTTGAAGTTGTGCTTTACCCTTAAACCTTTTGTAAAAGAGTTGTTCTAATCAAGCTGCTTCTCCTCTAGATGAAAGCATTGTATTTGTATCCAACATTGGGTTATTTCCCCAGCATACAGGATTTAAAATGAGGAGGGGAGTTATCATCAATGAAAACTTTTGATTAACCTGGCTGGTGTCCCATATCTAGTGTTATATAGTGGTTCTCAAGTTGAGAAAATGTGGGTTTCATGTATTACCTCCCTGGAGACTTGATGGAATAAACTATACTCTGGGACTATTCTGCACTGGATTTTTAAAAATGTATTACCTAGAGACCTTATTCCTGCTCCTAAGATGATTGTTTGCAAATGTGCTCATTGCAGAGTGGAAGCATCACAAAAATCCGCATTGTTATTCTCTGTGTTAGAAGCAATAAGTGTTGGGAAGAAGCAAATCATTACATACT